TACAAGTACTAGTAAGTAACATGTAAGAAGCATAGGTAGTATGGGACTTACTCTTCAGTCTGTGAGAGAACGACTGAAGAGCAGAGGCCTGCAGAGTCCTCCTTATATACTACTGGGGAGGACGATGAGTAAGCGTAAAAGAAGAGAGCATGTGACGTCCAGAGGACGCTGACTGAGCGATGAGTAACGCTGAGTAAGGGAGCATAATCGACATAAGGTCAGATAGTCCATGGCTGAGTAATGCGAGTAATCCGGACGCTGTCTAGAATAGTCCGGAACATCGTAGAACGTACCAGAATCATATGGAGGGATGGCAGGATGCCAAGTAAGTACAGAACAAAAGAATGTACGTATATGGTAAGTAGGAAAGTCCATGCTGGCGTATGGTAGACGCACAGCCACTATCACTGCCACTCCCGGTCCGGCACAGCCGTAGACACAGAAGTTCAACAGATCCTCCTCTTCACGCACGCGTATACTTAAACATCTTTGGGATGTTCTTGTGGGAGTGGTGCTCGTCCACATACAACATCTGTAAATCAAAACTGGAGAGGCCTTGGCATAGCCATAGTGCTTACAGTACATAGAGCAGAATTTCCGTCCCCTGAAGCATTCGGCAGACGTCAAATTGTCCTGCGTCAAACGTCAACTACAACGCATCTAGGCAGGACGTTGTCCTGAATTCCCGGTACTGTTGCATAACGTACAGACGCAAGGGTCGTTGCCCAATATATCGCGGACCAGGTAAGTGATTCTTTCGACTCATTTTCCCCATGTGCCAATCCCCATTTCTACTCACACAGTCCACGTCCACGTCCAGCCAGTACTTAATGCTGGGGGGTGTCGAATAGAGCCGCCGGTTAGTAGCATGCGCTTACCGTCGAGGCGGCGAATGGGTGTACCGTACGCAGCTTACTGACTCGCAATTATATGACACAGGAACACCTAAAGGCTATATAATTACTCCTTCCTCCGTGTTGCATAGCCGTCGTGCACTGGAGGAAGTTCGCGTATGTGCCACGGAGCAACCTCAAACACTATGCCTTTCCTGGTGGTGTCGGCTCCTTACTCGACTTCCTCGTGTGTGAATGCTTATGTTTGAGGGGTAAGTTAAATGCATAGGGTTTCCGCGATTGCATTTGCAAGCCTCTGCCGGACATACTGCTGTCCCTCGTGGACGTATGAGCTGCGTAATATGCTGAACTTACTATAAACGTCGCTCGGTAGACCGCCATCTTATCCCCAGAGACTGCTAAAGTAGGTCGCGTTTCTATGATAGCCACGCACGCGATCATGGTGATGACGTGCACCTCGAACATAGACGCATGGTCCTTCCAGAAACTCAAGCTCGGTTGAACTCAAGACGCGCCTCCAGCCTCAGCCCGATTAGCTGTTGGCCCGTGGATGCGGAAGGACGCACGCACCGTACCTGCGACACCGGCGCAGGGAGCAGCGCGCTCATCATTCGCTGGTATGACATGTGTCGTCCACCTGTAACCCGTCGCTCACCTGTCATCCACCAGCAAGGTGGACAAGAAGTTTGGATACTTAGCGCGAGGTCGGCACATCTCAGGACCGTGGCGCTTCGACTGCCCAAATCGCTATCTCTTCCAAGACCTTAAGCTACTATTGCTGGCCCGTTTCTGGTCGGATCCATATGGTAAGCAGGATTCACGTTGTCGGAGTACTACGACCATATATATCTGCCAGTTTAGTTTTTCATTCTGTGCATAAATCCTTTGCCAGGGTATTACTCTCGATTTTTAGATCCAGTGAGGTGGTTTCCTCGAGCGCAGAATCTCGGACGTTCTTACTGCAGCTGCATTTCCCCCTTCTTGTGCACAGTTCCTCACCCGGCTTCCCCACCATTCTTGGCGAGCTCCGTTCTGATTCGATGGATAGATCAGCGCTAACCAAGCGGACAGCTCCCCTTGTCATAGACGCGACTTGTGGAAACTAGGTCCTAAAACCCGGTCCTGGCTAGTCAGAAGCGCAGGGTCGGTCCACCGCGAGCCCGTATCAAACTTAGGTCATGTACGATGTCCGGCGCACATCAAGCTCTGCATCGAACTTCTTGCGCAGGAACCCTTAATACTGTCAGACAATTCGGCCTCGTCTGGCTTCGCAGTCCACCACGTTGCTCGGTAAAGGGCGCCCCGAAGTCATGTTGGCCACTCGCGAGGCCCATGTGCATGGGCCAAGCATCCATGATCGAATCGAATAGCACGGCGTCCCAGGTACGTCCTAATTATGTGAAAGGGGCGATGAATCAGCGCCCAAAATACGGGAATGGTACTTCTCATTGCCGCCGTTGCTGTAACGAGGCGGTTATTTTGCTGCCTTCGGGTGCGATCGGCTGGCCTCGTGTGTATATGCTTCAAACCCTGTATCATCGGTCTCGTTGTCCGACTTTTTTGGGTAACGGTATTCGTCCTCCCATATCAGGAGAAATGAAAAGTGAGTGACGGGGAGCCCCATGCGGCTCGCCCACTCTGCTTTTTGTTGGATTTATGTCTTAACAAAAGGCGGAATAATCTTTGAGTGTATTCGCGATGCTATCCTATCCCGCCCGTGCTATTTTGGCAATACGTTTTGGAGATTGGCGTTCGACATTCGCCACTTACTGCCGTGTACCTGCATCCGTGCTGACGAATGTCGCCGCAACAGTACAGCACCTCGCAGTCTTGGAAGAGGAGATCCTTTTCTGACTCTCTTTTGAGTGCGGGGTCGAAGTCTTTGGGGTTGCAAACGAGGCTATGGGCTCCGTGTTCGTGTTCCTGCACATTCGTGTTGATGATGCTCGATGCGGACCTTTATGATATGTCCGACACTACCTGTTGCCGCGAGTACAGCACAACGCAGACGTTGCTTCAGGTTCTGGTGGCGACGAGGCTCACCGGCCTACACAACAGGTGTGGGCTTCGCGATCTAGCTCAGCGACCGGCTTCGGTTGGCACAGTCTGGATGACGTACTTCTGCTATCTCGGGACTCTTCCAGTGAGTTTTTTGTACATGCTTCCGCCATGACCTCTGCACACTGATTCCTGCCAGTAGGACCTCTGCACAAGAACCGTCTTCCCAATTCGAATTCTCGACGGTCCCAATTTTCCACCCTTCCCACATTTAACGACGCGTGCAAATAAGGCAGCATATCTGCGGTAGCTCGCATAGGGTTCAAGGCGGGTAGTTTCCGACACTCCAGGTGTGCGGACATACGCGGCCAACTCAGGCGCCGCTGCGGGAGCCGCCGCCGGGGTGGACATTAATCACTACTCATCGTGGTATGCGACGCTTGCGATGTCCTATATCCTCATCTAAAGGTGTACGGAACACTAGTGTTACAATAGACCTGTGGTCTCTGGTGGAATAATGAGGTCACGCCCCTTCGCCAGTGCCGGTCATGTCCCCACCGCGCCGCCTTTCTCCCGTAGCTGGTACTTGTATAGATCGAGGCATTCGATGAGCAGATTAAGCACCGTCCGGCTTATGTTTATTCTCTCCATGAGGAACTGCGGCGCCATCAGTATCGAGGAGGACGCTAGGTAGATGAGGACGTACCGCCGAGTTTGCCACCTTGTCGTCCACGGCGCAGACACCGAGATTTGTTTCGAGCGTCAGCAAGTCGACCCGTAACTTAGCATAAGAAGGAAGCGATCAGTGAGCATTCTCGCTCGCGCTCGGCGAGCGGTTTTTGGAAGGATCGGGGAACGGCATACGTGGCTCCAGATATTGGTAATCGCCTCGATGCGCGTGGTGACGTTGCGGATGTCTTCACGAGTATTCGTCCACCAATCCTCGTATAACGGACGGACCTCGCTCGGGATCTGCGCACTATTTAGTAAGGCCGGAATCGTCGCCGCGCATTCTTCGAGATGGGCTTGCGCTGCTGGTCCATACATTTCAGCCCTGGGGACTGCAAATGAGAACGCTGTGCTGGCACGTACTCTGTCTTGTCTCGACATCCACATCGGTGATGGGTATCATGAACACCGATCGCTAAGTCCTAGAATGAGCGACGCTCCGCAGATTTATTGAGACGACTGACCAATGCGTGGATCGCAAACTTCGGTGACAGCGTGCACAAGGCTTCTGTAGCCCCGGGAACAAGCCAAGCCATCTTCTTCAGGTAGCCTGAGCTGCAATCTGCGACCTAGCCGGGCATGAGCAGTCATACAGGGTGCGCTTTTAGGAGACCGCACGCTCTTACCTCATCGGACATCCTGTCCAGAACACATCACGAGTGTTATCCGGTTATTTGCGCAGCATAAGACGCAACCCACTGGAAGAGGCACTGACCTGGAGACCTTCTGCTTCAGCACCTCAATGTTGTTGCAAGTGTTGTCCATCTCCGCCGAAATGGGTATATCGAGTTGCTTGAGGGTGCGCTCCACTTTACGCTCAAAGCTCCTGATATCGCTGGCGAGTTCTTTGAAGTTAGAGCGCGTAGAGGTGGCAATAGATATGTGCCTTTTGACTGTCTGGTGAACGAGGACATTCAGTTATGCTGAGCGTAGTCTGAAGAAGTGACCCACCTTCTTGAATTTCTTGATTTCGGCTACCAGCACTTGGACGTCGCAATCGATCTTCCCAACTTTGCCCAAGACCCCCTCGGCGTAGGCTGTCGAGGTGACGCGATTGTTGAAAACAGGATAGCCATCAGGAAAGTGAAGATATCTGCGTACAGTGCATGACACCAGAGGCCGCAGCGGCGCTTGCTCGGCTTTTTACTACGTAGTCGTCGAATCGTTGGAGTGAGAATGCCATTCGAATTGAGCGCCTCGTTTCACCTTTGAAGGGCGACACCTACAGATGAGAAGCGCTCCCACTCGGGCACGAGGTGGCGAGCCGGGGAAGAAGGAAAGTATTTGTCGTCGAAAAGCTCGAGAGGACCGATCACCTTTTTGAAGAGCTTGGTGATGCATGCGACGTGCTCTTGTAGCTCGGATATGTCTTGCTTCAGGGTCTCCCCGACGTCTGTGCCGAGTAGAGCATGGTTGGCCTGGATGATGTCCCTTTCTGGTTCCAAGCTAGTGTCAGGCATCGCGCAGTGAGCGGCGGGGTAGTGTGGGGCTGAGGGCTCGGATACCGTTCGATAGAGTTGCTATCCAACTTTATAGTGAGATAGCATACTTCGAGCTCCATGCAGATGTCAACAACAAGGTTCGTCTGCACCCACGGCGGTCGTGGTCATGAGCCTTGGACCAAATGTGTTCGAGTGAGTCGGCGCGGTACGACCGAGGTGGCAGAAGCGATAACAGACACCCAAACCACTCGCGCGCTCGCAAAAAAGGACAAATAACCCGATAAGGCTATGGCGTCAAATTCCTCGTATAGTACTTGGCCATGATATTGCAATTGGTTGACGTGTACTCGGACTACTGCTTGGCAACTCTCTCGAACTCCGAAGCAAAAGCAATAGCGATGCTGCACCAACAAGCCCCGCTCACCTGACACCCACTCCAGTGTCGCGTAACGTTCCACGTTTCCGTTTCTCTCCAGATAAAGGCGTCAGATAATGATACCCCGGGGGTATATACGGTTTCCACATACGCGGATCCTCGCCTTCTGTCACTCTGTCAACCGGTCTTCACTATCGTAGCGTGTTGATGGGGTGGTAAAATCCTAAGCGGTCATAGTTGGACTCGGATCCCCTGTCGTAGCTTGTACGTTGTGCGCCAATTGCTTCATCTATACAGATATTCTTGACTACCCTCTACTACTTCCGGAGAACCGAGTCTTGCCGGTTATCTCACAGCTTTGGGGTTCGTGCAACAGAGTTCCTGGGGCCGACGGAGTTTCGGCAGTATGATAGAGCGCGAAACTAGTACGTATATAAAGCGCCATGCCTCTGAGATCGCAACGCCAACCCCCTCTTCCGCCCTTCCCTCAGATGCCATCCCAAAGTCCTCTCGAGCTCTCTGACTATCCCGCAGTTATACGACGTCTCAAACAACACATAAATGCCTCGACCTCCGCTTTTCGCGAAGTAACGGAGCAGATATTCGACTACTTCAACACATCACCAGAGGTCGAGTCACGATGGGCTCATCATGTCGCTGTAAATCTTCTTCATTGTCTGCTTCGATGCACCCAGGTCATGTCTTATTGATCTTTCATTTTGAGTAGATGTATGAGGATATTATAGACGACTCCCAAACTACAGCCACCAGGATATCTGCTACCGTCAGGAGTAAGATTCGCACAGGCTGGAACGTTCCCGTAGTAACGCTGACGCCCGGTCTGCGCTAGTGTATACCGGCCTACAAGTCGCATTCACGGAAGCGAGCCCGGCAGACGTTATTCACGAGCTGTCAACCCTGAGAAAGGTACGCCGACATCACGGAGCGACCAATGTGTGGCTGCCAACACTCCGACGCCGCAGGCTCATTCACCATCTTCAGGCGCTTCTGAGCTTCGACGATAGTTTAGCACCTCGGCTTGATGCTCTCACAGACGCCATCCGGCAGTTTCTGTCTGAGCCAGAGATCATGCGTGGCTCGCGGCGGGTGACTGGAGGTCCTCCAGCGAATATGTTAGTCATGCATTCTGCCCCAACTTCATCGCCTATCCACCCAGCCAAATTTAACACAGATCCCGCACTGGCTGGATGGGGGTCACCTCTTCGGCGCTCCAGGCAGTCGGATACCATTTTCTTTGGTAAGTATAGACCACACCGCGTGAGACTGCTGGCTGACCGCACTCACAGGACACTGCTACTCCAGATTGGCGGCTTGCTGGCACCTGAGACCGCTACCACGACCGCCAGGCGTTGTGTGAATGGTAGCGGGTTTATGCCCGCCTGCAATAACGAGGCCGCGTCTGCGCAGGACGCTGTAGCGAATATATGGCACATTTTGCGCGAGGTAGAGGCGCAAAAGCAGATGTTTGACGTCTTCCAGCTGATTTCCTGCGAGGTGAGTCAGTCCAACAGTCCAATCGCCTCAGCACTCACCCATCATACTCAGCTCATGTCCGAGTTCGACCGGTACTCGGCGGCGCTCGAGGCTGCGAGGGATAAGCCTATGACCCCGGTATGCCGTATCTTCACAAACGTATATGTCGTTCATTGACCAATTACGCATCGTTGCCCTGATAGGAAGCTGCGGATATCATTCAGGGAGCACACGCTGGTGCCACATTGCAGGCGGGGCAATGGAAGAATCTGGCCCGGGTCCTTGTGGATGAGTATGCCAGGGCTTAGCCGGCGCAAAGCGGTGCGCGTCCAGTCCTGCCATGAAAGTCGTGCCCTAGACATCCCGTGCTTTGCCTATATACACGATCCTGTGCTCACTTCTCCTGCTGTTGTTTTCTTTTTGCTTCCTGTTGTCGTCGCTTTCGTATTCACCCTATGTGTAATTCCCAATATGTACATGTTCATGTCATACGTGGATACGTATATGTTGCAATTTCTGATCAGGTCTTTGTTGAATTCAAGTATACATACGATGCCGCGGGTTTGTCAGTTAGTATACCGTGCGGAATATGAGGGATTACAGGCGGGAGTCGAGACATTTTCCGCACAAAGTCTGTAGCTCGTATACGTACATGGGTACATACAAAAGTGCATGCAGCCTCGCATTGACGTAAGGCGGAGACAATGACCCAGAGATTAATTCTAAATTCAGCAACCGGCGTATGTCCCCATGTGCACCACGAGTGTACAACCGCGCACACACGCGCCAGCGCCCCGCAGGTGGTTTGTCTACCCGGAGCCCGGCAACAATTCCGCGCTCGATGGCGATACATACATGCCATTGCTTCATAGTACCCGCCTAGAGAACGGGTGTACGCCGGAAGTGTATCACACATCCCGCAATCTCGCGCAACTTGTCAGATGGCACGAGGCGGCGGCGCGAGACATCGAGTCCAGCATGCATACTACTTAATCAGAGGAACATGTCGACACGGCGACAGCCTGGCAAATTTGCACTATGAGGCGTGTTCCTGACGTGAATGGCCTTGCGCGCGAGGTGCATCTCCCCGCCTACGAAGGGTTCGCTCCTCCCTCGGAAAAACGCCACCTGACGACAGCTGTCTCACGCAGGTGTATGGACAACGTTGCTCCTTGGGTGTATTGTCGAGCCCCTCGTATCAAACGAGACTGAGCTTACTAAGCTCAGTCTCGTTACCAAACGTCAAAGACTCACGTCGGGTGGTACTGAGGGCATTATTCCAGGGTCGTCTCAAGAGTATCCGCTAGAAGAGGCATATATGAGCTGATATGAAAATTCAAGCGTAGTGTCACGGACTATTACGAGAGCAAGCCCAGCGATGTGTCGTCGAATGGATATCCTGCTGCAATGAGAATAGTACGTTTCAGTGAGGTCATCACAGTGATGCAAAGACACTTCCTACCTCTGAAAGCTCAGGAGTAATTTGATGACGTACTGAACCGTTTGGGATAGCGAGATATTATTCGATGACTTGGGAGAGATGGATGAACAGGTGGGGCGGGGACGACATCGCTATGGGTTCGGAAATTTTTGATCTTCTTCGCGAGCTGCCTGAGGTCGTCCAACCCAGATTGTCCACGAGCGGCCCTTGTGCGCAGAAGCTGTGAGTATTCCAAAGGTGAGTATGATTTTGTTGAACTTCTGTGTCTATGGCTGTGCCGGACCGGGAGTGGCAGTGATAGTGGCTGTGTGTCTACCATACGCCAGCATGGACTTTCCTACTTACCATATACGTACATTCTTTTGTTCTGTACTTACTTGGCATCCTGCCATCCCTCCATATGATTCTGGTACGTTCTACGATGTTCCGGACTATTCTAGACAGCGTCCGGATTACT